TTATGACTGAGTCCTAAGGTTTTCTTCTGCCAGCCCTTTCTTTCTCTTCCTAGCAGACGAGGGAAAAGAGAAAAAAATGTTGCTACGATGTCGACTCAGAGTGACCCAACAGGACAGGGTTGAACTACATATTTCTCCTCTTAGTCTCATTAGGGAGCCTTAAAAATACATCCAATTGCTACAAATGTGCCTGACATAATGGATGCATGCATGGATTATGATAAGAGCTGTACAAACCCCCAATAAAATGATTATTAAGAAAAAGATCCAATTAAAACCGTGGCTTTTGAGCTCTTTGGTCAGGTTCAATTCAGGGTGGCTCATAAGGTTATGCTGACTATCGTTCAGTACTTGTGAGGAGCAATTTTATTAGGTTTTCTCAGTGGGCACAGGGTTAAGTTGAAAATAAAAAGGAAGAAAGGAAATGGAAAACTACAGATGTGAGGGAAAAGGCTGGAAAAATTGCATGGAGGACATGCTGCTATGAGGACAAGGCACCCGTTCAACGCTCGAAGGTAGCAGAGACTCTCCTATGAGAATTCCACTGAGAATCTTGCTCCACCTATCCTATCGCCTTGATCTTGCCCCTGGCAGACTTCTTTTTGTTCCCTAAACTCAATGAACTTTGAAAAGGAACATGGGTTGAGTCCCTGGAAGATGCCCACACTGCTGTTTTGACATGATGCACAGAAAAAGGTGCAGAATTCTTTAGGGAAGAGTTCTAGAACTGGTAACTCCACTTTCAGCAGTATCCAGACCCAGATGGAGGATCTGCCGCGAAACAGCATCTATGCATTTTGAAATTTTTGTTCAATGGCAGATCCCAAGATATTATAGCAATATTTCTTGACTCACCCTCATATTTCTTCCTAGCTGACTAAAAGAGTGAAAGTTGGGATTTGGGGGGAGTTTTTTCCTAAGTTAAATAAAGGGCTATTGTGATATGCTTTCTGCAGCCAGCAGCACAGTGTGGAAGAATTGGCCTCCTTCTGGGTTTTCAGTGCCCTTTCTGTCACGGGTTATTTTGAGAAAGCTCTTCTTCATATCTAATTCTGGGCTTATTTCCGTCCTCTCTGGATTTGATAGGTGACTGTTACCTGCTATTTACCAACCGTCTCGTGATCAGCTAAATGCAGGTGAAAGAGGGGACAGGAGAAAGCAGGGAAACAAGTCAGGCTTAAAACACCGATCACGCCCAGACATGTTTGGAAAAACACCGAAGTGAATCAACTTTCCGAAAAATGTGCTTCCATTAGAAACAGGTGACCACAAACAGGAGAAATACCAATAACGGTTTTCAAACAGATTCATAAAATTTCCCCACCATTTGTAGCATACCTAATTAGTAGCTGAACTCTACTGATTTTATAAACTGCTGACCTCACAGAAGGGAAGCAGATAACTTAATCATCTTCAGAGGTAAATGCTATCTATTGACATGGTTTCTAGTTAAGAGTCGATCTGATACTTTCTCTGTAATTATTTTGTTTTATAAGGCATGGATATACAGTGGCTCTATCTTACTGTAATTTGACTACTTTAAAAAGTATTAACTGTCCTATAGTCAGATTTCAATATCAGGAAATTCTACAGGGAAAACTTTATCCAAGGACCTGCAGTCTGACCTCCATGGACGTGAACACGTTCATTTTTACACAGAGCTCATTTATGTTTGTGGTCTATCTCTGACAGTGGCACAGTTGGACTATGTACTGTGGAGATCAACCCATTCTAGAAGGGACATGGCGATTTATCGTTTATAGAAGAGGAAGTGGAAGCTAACACGGTTAGGTGACTTGTCTGCAATCAGGGCAGAGTACAGATCAGACTCAGAGCTGAGCACCTTTTCCATGATATTAGTTGCCAGTTTTTGGAAACACTAAAACCCACCTTTGTTTCCTTTAATGATTGATGACTTTGGCTTAATCCATGACTGCCGATAAAGTTTTGGGCCTCTACCACCTCTTGCTGTGCATGTGACTCAAAAGTATCTCATTCTTACTTTTCATGTTCTAGTTTAAGTGTTCTTTCTTTTGATCACACCTCTCATTATTTTAAGACTATGAACCTGCCTTTAATCACCGTCTTTTCACTGGAAAGCCACTCTGTTCTTCCTTCGGGATAGCTAACTTCTCCTAACACACTCAGCAGCTTCTCACCTATATTTGTCCCTTGCCAGACATTCCTCTCTTGAATATCTTGTTTCTCCTGGAAGCAATCATCTCTGAAATTTTATTAGGCACAAGAGCAATGATCAAAGATTACAGAGAGTTCAGAGTGGGATGATTCTGTACAACGAGAGGAAAATGTTTCGTTTCGATGTCTAATGTCTTACTGGATGGCACCTGCAGGGGCAGTGAATTATTTAACAGGCTCTTCTAGCCAAAGTCTCTACCTCCCACCAGTGACCTTGTCCTACATGGCTCTGGTAAGACGGTGGGGGAAAGACACTGAACAACTCAAAAATTCCTGCCACCGAGTCAATTCTGACTCAGAGGGACCTCACAGGACAAGGCAGAACTGCCCTTGTGGGTTTCTAAGACTGTCACTTTACTGGAGTACCTGCTGACAGTGCAGTTAGCAGCCCAATACATAATCCCGATGCCACCAGGGCTGCCAGGATTTACCTATGAGTAATTGTTAACAGGATTCCCTGGTATGCCATCCTGCTGTATGCAAAAATGAGCCTTCTGAGAAACAGGAGGAGGGATCTCATAACCAGCAAAAGCCAGGAGTAGAGGACATCCCTCTGGACCCAAGATTCCTGT